AAGAGTGAGTTCCCCGGACGATGCATGAAGTACACTTCATCTGAACTGTGGAATTGTCCGTCTGGACCAAGACAAGCTTGATTAGGACTTTGGATATGAGCAAATGCAAGGCTTTGAGCACTGTCAATAGCTCTGGTTGAAGGAATGCAATTGGCTCTCTTTGGTTGGATAAGTGCTTGGTACTAAATGACCATCCAGATGAAATCTCAAACCCTGTCCGAGGTACCTATTATGATGGTAGAAGATGCAGTAACATTGTCCTGAAAATGCCATCAGTGCAGTAGGTCATAGCTAAGATGGGTTACTGGAATCCCTTTGGAGATGACTCTTAGTGTAGATGGGAAAGACACAGGAAAGGCTGCACAGAGCGCCTGTGTGTCATGCACCAGGGAACTAGGTCTATCATCAAGATGCCAGAAGGTTCCAATGCCATCACGTTGTGTCTAACGTTCCCCAGTAATGCCTGACACCAAGTTGGAAAATGTTTCAAGGTAGTTCAGCTGTCGTGAAGGAGCTCGATACTGAAGATGAAAAACAACACCAAGTGATAGCCAACATCTAAGTACAAGAGCAAATTGATCTGTTTTGCTGTAAAAAGGAATGCTGCCACAACATAGGCGATTCTTATAAAGACCCCTAGGAGCTGTGAAAATACAAAAGGTCTGTAGCGAAACCCTGTAGGTATGCGGAATTCCACTTCTGATGACCCACATATGGGTACTGTAGAAGGACATTAGCATCCCAATGATTGATGGAAGCAGCAAACCAACCTGTCTTCAGAGACTGGAGGGAAGTAGAAAGCCTTTCCATCTGAAGTCCTTTGCTGCATGTAAAAGTTTGATAATGTGCCGCCATATGTCAGACTTCTACTGACTGAGAACAAGGGTGGGGTAAGCCGAAACCCGATCCAGTTGCAAGTTTCCTGATCTAGTTCATTCCCTAAGGAAAGATATCCTTCTCCAAAGCAACAATCAAGTGTATGTTGAGGCAGAAGCTCGTGGTCAGGGAGAACCGAGGTAGATAAGAATTCCAGAAAATGCTTCAAAGAAGTGTCTGACAAACCCCTTATGTATGAAGTTACATAAAACCACCTCTGACCGGACTCTGTAGGACAAATACTTGTTTTAAAGACTCGAAGCAGTGAAGATATGTAAAATTCTGCTGTAAGCTAAGGAAAAAGACCGGTCTACAAAACTCCTGGCTGAAGAAACTAATCTCACTCAGTTGAATCATGCTGGTTTGAGACCTGGTTTGAGACCTGGTTGGAGACCTACGTAGAAGATGTACATTCATGCTAAGCACTGATGAGGATACATGCAACTGATCTCAAAGTATGGAATCCTGCACCATAGTCTTGCCATTTAACCTAACATTATGCAAAAGAAACATTCATCCAAGACAAGAATGCCATACAGCTGGAAATTTCCAACAAGTCCCAATGCAATTCCAACAATCTGGACAATAAAGCAGAATGATAAAATCTCCAATAAAAACTGCATCAGTTAAGAAAGATATATTTGCAACTTACAAGGGCACCAGACAAAAGAAAGAATATTCTGTGAAGGCCCCGTGGCATATGGAAGAGGAGTGCAGTATGGAAGGCAGTAATCCTTGGTCTATTGTAATAATCAACAAATCATCCCAACAGGCTGATGAATATAAACAGGCCAGCTAAGCAAATTATTCAAGTGATAGATTATCAAGGAATCTGTGGAAGGAATCCTCATTCAAGACATTCCCCAACACCAGTGGCGAACGCAGGATTTTTTCAAGGGGGGTGTTTCAAATTGGATGTCATCATTTATGACGCTAGAAATGAAGATGGTAAATATTGTGTTGGCGCCAGAAATAAAAGATAGTATCAGTGGGCTAAACTTAATGCTAAAATAAAAGTCGGGAGTTTGTGTTGGCGCCAAACATAGTAAATCGAGAAAAAAAACCAACATGTTCTGTGTCTTTAGAGTATATGATGAACATGAGTAAAGGGGTCAATGTGGGCAGTCCCCTCCCTCAACAGCATTACAAAAATAATCATAATAATTCAAGAAAAGTGACACGGGCTGCGGAAGTGCTAGGATCTGTTCTTGTAATTGGCTAAAATTACTCAGCTTCTACCCTGGATCTCATGATTCTCATCCGTTGGGAATCTAATTCTTTGTGTAAGCCGCCCCCACCCCTAAGGCCAAACTCCAGATACAGGATACAAATGCGCTCTGGTCACAGGGGCGGATTCAGACTGCCATTTGTCCGGGGGGGGGGGGGGGCCTAGAATTGTAATGAAGGGTCCAGGACCTGCGAGCGCGCAGCGCGAAGCCCCTACGGCGTGGGGTCCGGGGCCCGCTTTAGGGCCCCGTGAAAATTTCGGATCGTAGATGCTCTGTGGTGCAATCTGAGGCGATTCCTGGCTACTTCCACCGTTTAGAACAAGTTTTAAACATCGAAAATTCCATTTAAATTTGTTATTTTTTTTGTTCTTTATAAAGTTTGTTATGTACTCAAAGTTGAGAACCATGTTCCATCTCCGTATTTTTTTCACAATTTTCTATTTTGGAAAGGGATTTAGGCCACTTGTAGTCCGAGCCTCAGCCATTCGCTGCTGAAGGTACAAATAAGGTGGGGGCACCGCTAGGGTGAAATTAGCATAGAGGGAATTTGGCCGGAGGACTAATACGAGCGCGGAGCGCGAAGCACTTACGGCGTGGGGTCCGGGGCCCGCTTAACCCTAAAGGGGCCGGGTAATTTTGACCATCTCTCAGCCGGGGGGGGGGGGGGGGGGGGGGGGGGGGGGGCGGATTCCGCCCCCCCCCCTAAGATCTCGGCCATCGAGAGACGAACAATTTTGAAACTCGGCACATGCATAGAGCAACTCTTCCTAAACATACCCAAGAAATTTCATGACTATAGGTCAAAGGGTTTTGGAATTATGGCTAATTAATTATTCATATGTACGAATGGCAATTTTGCTCTGTGTACACGATGTATATGCGAAAATTCAGTTTTCACGGCGCGTAGCGCCGGAAAATTTTCGTTACGCAGCAACCCGTGGTCCGATTTTTATGTTTTTGGTATCAAAAGATGCTCAAAGCTCGAGGCTAAAAAGTCATAACAGCTCGGGTCGCGAAATATTTTTTTTAGAGGCTATCACGGAAAATGTTGAGGGGGGGGCGGATTCCGCCCCTCCCCCGGCCCCTTTAGGGTTAAGGGCCCCGGGAAATTTCGGATCGTAGATACTCTGTGGTGCAATCTGAGGCATTTCCTGGCCACTTGCCCCTGATTTTTTAGCAGAAGTTGTTAAAATTGAGGGGATATTTTGTTTCATTTGTTTCAAATACATATAGGCCTATATACTCTTGCTCTTATAAAGTGTCTTCTGTATTCAAAGCTTAAAGTTGAGAACATGCACATAATTTGTAATTGTTCCGCGCTCGGTCACATAACTCTCTTTTCCCTCCATATTTTTACATGGCAAAGGGGGGTGTTTAACAGCCAAAACACCCCCCCTGCGTACGCGCCTGCCCAACACAATCATATTTATTGGGATGGAACAGGAAAGAATGCAGCATCCAGACGCCGGTAACATTTGAGTACAAGTCTAAGGAAAATTAAGATATTTTTTTTTTTACAATCTTGTAAATGATATCAAACTAAAAGTGGCATCAGGTTGCAACATACTATCCAAAGTTAGCTTCAGCATAGATACATATGAGCTTGTATTATGAACATGCTAATTAGTACTAGTACAAAGTAGTAGAGGACCAACCCACTGCCAGATAGAATGGAAAAACTAAAAAGCTTACCCTTAGCCGGTCGAGTGCTGCTAATGGAAAGGCTGTCATCTTATATTAAGGGAATAACAGTGTAAGGAGGATTCTCACACTGTTATTCCCATTAATAAATACCTTTATAACGAAATAAACAGTTAAAATGCTCCAATTTTGTGACTTTTTTCCGGCGATATTTCCAGACTTTTTTGTGTTCATGTTCATGGGCCATATTTTAGCTTAACACTACAGCTATAACGACGTAAACTCAACAGAAACTGCTGCCGTAGCGAAACAAATTACAACAATATTTTCATATCTTTACCTGATGGAGGAAGCTGAAATCTCGTTTACACATTCCTTGTGTCCGGAATTACAAAGATGCTTGGTTTAGGAAAGGTAAATATGTCGGTGGGTGAAGTGTTTCAAAGAAAATAAATCGTAGATCTACGCTTTCGTCGTAAACATCCTCAGTATATACTGCACTGCTGTATGATGTCGTTTTAAAACTTCCTTACGCGCCTGCACGCACGCATCCCTAGCAACTGTGTTGCGTACGCGCGCGTCAGTCTCACGCGATGGGGGTTGAGCGCATGTGCAGTGCTCAATTGTTAAAAGCTACCGCAGGACTGTTACTATCCTTGAGCTGGTAGTAGTAGTAACCGTTTTCAGTTTCGTCTTGGCGTTTATGTCCACCATTGTAATGAGCACAGCGAGTACAGTTAGTGTTTGTTTGTAATTCACACGATGTTCACACTAAAGCGTCCCTGAACAAAACTAGGAGTCGTCTTTGTGTAACACGGCTATTTGCGGGACATGTGGGCGCTGAGGGTGAGGCTTGGGCGCTATTCTTTTCAGCGAATGTTTGTGCGCATGCATGCTGATATGCAAATGTAGGTAAACAGAGGTGAGATGTTTTCTGTAATGGAATTTCCATTATTTTTAAGAATTATTTCCCGTAAATATTTTGACAATAATCAAGGTAAGTTTAATCACTTTTTGTGGACATTATTTTGTATAGTTTTTGAATGGAAATGGAAATAGTTCAGGCTGAAATTTGCATTTAATTGAATACCCCATGCAATCAGAGCAAAAAAATAAAATTGGGCAAAACAAATAAGAATAAAAATTCCTACCTACCGATTCTATTTTTGAAAGGCAAGTAATTGGAAGTAGAACTTTGGGGGGGGGCCTTAGGAGATAAAGGAATAGTTTAACAATGTTCACTTGTTTACTCACCGCACTTTTACTTCCCATTATGACAATAGTTGCCTCTACTCCAGCTTGCGTTCCTTCTTTTTTCCCTGAAAATATTAACCAAGCTTCGTTTAACAGCAATTAATGCAATTACCATCAAGCAAACAAATTTTAACAAACAGAGTACATATTTTGATTCAATATATAAACACTAACACCCCTCCCAAAATTGTTCCAGCACAAATCTATGATGATATTGGTGAAAATCTATTATGTGCATAGTCATCACAGTTAACAACCCTCAGGCCCGTGTGGGTCATTTTAAAAGCTTAGGATCAAAAGAGTAACAATTTTTCCTGTCCTGTTACCTTGCAACAATTTGTCATACTTAACTATAGTTAAGACACAATTAGGAAAGATGGAGAGAAATTTGGTGGAAATTATACACCCCTTATAAAGGCTAAAATTGTACCATACAGTCTTACAGTTTTTATTTTAGGTTTTCTGGGAGAAATTGCACTGAACCAAACACAATAGAGATTCCCGTTTGTTGAGTAACAAAAGCAGGGTGATCAGGGAAGGCAACTATCTTATTACACATACATATATTGGCCAGTAATGTTGTGAATATTTTTATGTAACAACAGAGCATCATAAAATTCAGTTTTTTCAAAGGGAACCATTTGATTACATGTGAAAAAGAGCATCCGTTGGGATATGATAAATTTCGGCACACATTTTATTTACATGTACACGTTACTTCTTGTTTGATGAAGTCACCAGTTCAAATTTGCGAGCTGAAAAGTACTTCAGAGAGGATGCATTAATCATAAAGTTAAAAGAATTTTTGAAAATATAAAAATCACATTGAATGTCATAAACAAAGAAAAACTGATCATTTTCAAATTCTCCTACAACTTTCAGTCTAATGCCTTAGGCCTAATGATTCTGAAACCTAGCAAAGACAGTTGCAGTTGTCGAAGAAATATCAACAAGCTATTTGTTATTATTAAAAATGCAACTGTCTTTGATGTGCTGCAAAGGACTGCCCTTCACATCTTTTTGGCTGTTTCCGCAAAACCTGCCAAAATCAGCAGAAAAGCCTTGGTTCTTGTTTTTTGGGGGCCTTGGTTCTTGTTTTTTTGGCTTTTTCACCTTTAGCGAAAAAGAATTGTTTTTGTTCCGATCTTTTCTTTTTCTTCTTCTTGTGCCCACAAATCCAATAGACTTTGTTCAGGTACATTCTGGGTGCCACTTTTGACCTTCAACATTCATGTACTTCAATTTTGATGAAACTTGGTACAGTCTCAGACCCACAGTGAACTCATAGAAGTGTTATATGACTTCATCACACATCAAATTACAAGCATTTAAAGTTTAACAGATGTAATCTTTGAAAATCCACAAAAAATGAACCGTGAGAAACCTGAACTTGACTTTTGCATAAATTGATAGAATAATCCAGGATCTTTATTTCATCTTATGTGTGCTGAATCACGTGACCCTTCCAGCCAGTCCACACCAGAAGTGCCTTATCCCCAACTCTTCTAGGGGGTGTGCAAAATCATATTAATATTGGAGGATTAAGGACTGTTAGGGCTACAATTTGAAAGTGGAAAAGATGGGAAATGCTTTCAACAATGTTAGGCTCTGGCTAAGTTGTACTTCACCTAAAAATTACAGGTGACGTTTAAAATGTTTGAATGTCCTTGAACGGCAGGTTGAAAAATGTTTAAAATGAGTAATCAGTTGAGACGTGCAGCAAAGTTTGCTGAAATCACTTAATAGCTGATGAATTCAGTGGAACGCTGCTATAACGAACATCACGGGATCCACAGAAAATGTAAAATTATAAATGGAGAACTGTATAAAATTGACACCATCACAGAGAAGAGAAGCCAGGAAAAGGGAGAGAAATGGCTGGGATAAAGGTATGTTTTCCATTTTGTTTTTTACCTTTTAACCTTTAGTTTTCAAATTCGATGCTTTAGAGGAAAACAACTAACTGCATTGGTTTTCACTATAGGTTTTGAGACATCAGCAGTAGTGCTACATTCCGAACCGAACCCGAACCAAACTGAAATGGTCGTTTTGGAAGTTCGATAAGTACATGTATTTATGCTATTGCTTGCAATGAAAGGGCAAACTTAAAGTATACCGATGATCGAATTTACAATGTTGACAAGTCACTGCATTCATCTTCAGTGTGTGCAGTGTTCCTGCATGACAAAGTACGTTTGGACCAAACCATTTGCATTGAAGGGTGCGCTTTCCTTAGCACAATAGCACTGTTGACTGCCAGCATCCAGTATGGTTATGTGCTTTGAGTAGTCTTCTGGGCCCAACCGACCCGCCACTTGGCGCGGGTGGAGGATGGCCCCAAGCCAGAAAGTCACACGTCTGTTGTGATGGTCACTGACGGTTTGGGATTGTGAAAAGCGCGCCCCTCCATAAGGTTGGCACTGTCGAGCCACCAACGGAGGTGTGGTACTAGCCAATGTGTGGTCGGCACCAGATGATGTATGTGGTGAAGACTGGGACGATAAAACGACAGCAGGTGTAGTTGGATGGGGCGCATCCTTAGCCTGCAAATATTCACAACGTCCACCATACTGGCCATAAGGACGAGCAACCTGAGCCAAGCTTGCGCTGGGGCCATGGTCATCGGGAGAAACAGATATACACACTGCTGAAGGTTCACAATCCGTTCCTCCGTAGGATTGGCCAATCCATTCTTGAGGTAGAGTGAGGCTCCTAGAAAGATTGGGAATTGGGACGGGCGTGGGTGGGACTTCTCGGTGTTGATGATAAACCCGAGGTCTGACGCAAGACGCCATGTCAGTTTGAGTGCTACTAACGTGGCCGCCTGAGATTGACCCATGATGAGTCAGTCATCGAGGTACATGAAATTCATCACCCCGTGTTTTCGTAGCATGGCCCGACTGTTTTCACTATTCGCGTGAAGACTCGGGGTGAGGTGGACAGGCCGAATGGGAGCACCAAATACTCGTATTGGACATCCTCGTACTGGAAATGGAGGAATCTCCAATGGTCCTGCCTGATGGGGATGTGTAAGTATGCGTCCTTTAGGTCTAGGCTGGCTCCCCATGTCTCCCCATGCTGGTGTCGAGTCCAGCCAGGGGTTATGGTGCATGTGCCCTTGGGCAAGGCACTTTGTCACTCATTGCTTCTCTCCACCCAGGAGTAAATGGGTACCTGTGAGGGCAGAGATGGTTATGTGATTGATTTAGCTTGGTTGCGCTTAACAGGCAGCATCGAGCTGTATACTGCCCAGGGAGCTGAGATGGTATTTGGAATGTTTAATTGGGCCCAATGATCTGGGGTAATAATAATACTGTAAGCGCCGTGATTTAGTTTACTAAAAAGGGCGTTCTTCAATGCCGATTATTATTATTATTATTATAAACTTGTTGAGGGGCATTAAATTTAAGATCAGGTGCCATACGCCAGTCTCCTTCTTAGGTACCAAGAAGAAGGTCGACATGCAGCCCAATAGCATTGCCCAATAGCATTGTTGCGTTGGACGGAACTGTCATTGGCCGAACGATCATGTCCGAGGGGGAGGGTATTCTTCAAATCATCTACCGATGACGTCATGCAATCTTCGAGCGCCCTCTAGCGACAGGTTGAACATTTGCAAAAATGTATTTTGAATAGATGTCTGTGGCGAAGTTTGTTGGAATCGCCTGAATATTGGTGTATATGATGACCTTGACCCACTTGAGACGTGTGCGAAGTTTTAGGCGAATGACGTCTTCAGACCGGAAGTTATAATAAAAAGTCCCTTTTTCATTTGAAAATTCCTGAAAAATCAACCATGGCAGTTTTTATGTTAGTTTTTACTTTAATTGTCGATTTAAGGGTAGGTCTAAAACATTTCAAAGCTTCGAGGCAATAAGCGAACTCGGACATGCCCTGCGCACGCTTAAAACTTCAGGCTGACAATACCTCTGCTCTAAAACACGCTACGCACATACATCGTATGTCAGTCAGCCTGCAGAGCACGTGTTGCCGAGGTCAAATCCTGTCCACATCACAGTGACCGTTTTAGCCGATTTTCGGCTAACTTTAACAGATTTTATGTTCATGCATGCGCATAGTCAGGGACGTATAATAACTTTGTACACGTGTTAGCCCATTGACTTTGTACACGTTTTCAAGCCACCATTTCTATAACTTGGCGATCTGGAATCGCAATGTTACAGACAAGGAAAACCCTCATCCAAAAATATGCCAAGACTATGACGCCATGATGACGTCATCACCTAATTTTTTTATTGATTTTTTTGAAAATTTACGTGCATAATATGAAGTCCTATATCTACAGAACTGTAGGCCTAAGTCTGATGTGTTGAAACTTGGTATGTGGCTAGACCAGGATGTGTTAAAGGAAAAACAAATTAGGTGACGCCATGATGACGTCATCCGGAGATTATATGAATATTTGAAGTTTTTGACCTTTTAGCTATATCTCATGAACGTAACATGCAAAATTCAAAATTCTTTGTGTATTTGGTCTGTTAGGTAAAAAGTATTTGCACAACATTTTGAAAAAAATATCTGACATCATTATGACGTCATAAAAATGTGATTTTTCAAAATAAATATAAGAAAAGGTCTGACTGTCATGAAACCTAGTGGGTAGGTAAATAATGGTACTAGTATACAAAGTTTAAAGTGACGTCACGATGACGTCATCGTTTGGTTTTTATAATTTTTAGATATTTAATAATTTATTCTGCTTCCACAAATTGCCCACTTTCTTTCATCGGATTGACATTAAACTTGGTTCAAACCAAAATCACAATGACAGAATGTGCATTGAGAAGGGTCTTAAGGATGACGTCATTGCAGGGCAAGTGACATCATTTGATAAAATTATACTTTAAGATTATTCTAAGCGTTTTGATCAACCTTTAACTGCATGAAGCACTCTGAAAAGTGACTGCAAAAGGACAAACGAAACAAATATTTGTAAAATGCGAAAAAGCCCTGTGTTCTGTTTGCAAACAGACATACAGCTCTAGTCTTTTTTTTCTTTTTTCAGCCCAAGCCCATAGCATTTGTACATGTATTTTTGTCACT